ATCCCTGAAGTAGATTAATAGCCTGCAAAATGTCATTGTTAAATTAAAAACTGCCTTCTTTTTCTGCTAAGGAATGCTAAATAGCTCTCAGAAAAAGGAAGAACATTCTGCTGCCCAGTTTCCCGCCTCCAACTGCTTAAATCTGAAAAGCAATTTCAGAGTAGAAGTGTTAAAAGGGGCCTAGTGTGTGCAGCCTGGAAAGAGGGAAACAATCTGACAGCTGCCTTGTAGGGGTTTTCCATACCGCTCTGAAGCGGAGGGGTGGATCTGCAGCCTGGGAAAATTGAAGCTTCTAGGAAATCTTCTGTTTTCTAGTCTCTTATTGTTTAAGCAATCTTTGTAAAGGCAGTTACATTTGAGTGTACAGCAGTCTGGGTGAGAAGCCCTTATTCTGCAAGAGACTGGATCCACAGAGGACCAAGGATGATTCAACCCACTTCACTCTATAAAGCAGACATATTTGTGCTCCAGTATTATTTAAAAAAGAAATTTCGTACGTGATACAACACCACATGTTATATCAACATTTACTTGTACAACAAATAAATATGCTACCATGGATGCATAATGGCTGTATGGAAAAAAAGTAAGAGGACTTAATTATACTGATATTTTGTGTTCATTTCTCACCTGTATACATCTTGACCTCAGCTTGTTTGCACCTCTTGAAGGAGGAGCAAGACCTCTGTCTTTCATCAAATAGTGCAAGAGCAGCTGATAAAATTTTAAGATATTCTTGAATGGTTCTACATGTAAAAGAACATGAGAGGAATTTTAGGAGGAGAGATCAGGAACCAGTGGCAATTTTGTGTGAGGATGAAGTTGGGCTGTGGGAAGCAGACACGAGTAGGTGGCAATACTCAGAAACAACTTCACATTGTAGGAGGAAAAATCACAACATAACCACTCTTTTCCTACCTATCAGTCTGAAAACACTCCTGCAACCCATGAGGAAGGCAAAGGAAGCCTTTTTGCTGTGAGCCAGGCAAGTCTACAGATTTAAACCAGCTCCTGGATCATTGGGTATTTGCCAGCTCATTTCCCCCTGTCAAACTATGGAAGGCCAACTAAGAGGAGAAGGCAAAGAGGAGTTTGCAGATTCTGTGGCTCCCTGTCTTCTAGCTCTGAGCTGCTGCTTGTCTCCTTCCTGAAGAGCCAAACCAGCTCCTAAACCTGGGCATTTACTAGATCTAGGTCAGGTTATCATAATTCATTTAGCCCATACCTGGGGCTAAACTATAGCAGTTGTTCTATCACCTAATGACCCCTCCCCACTTGAGAAGGGGAGTCAGAGAAAGGAGAGAAAATCTGGAGGTTGAAGCAAAGACAGATTTAATAAAACAACAAAACACATAAGTATATAAAAGCTATACTCAACCTAGAATATGTGGCCATCACAGTCCTTAGGAGGAACACAAGGAGGACCTCCAGCAGGAACTCCCTGTTCTTTATTGGGCCTTCCCCCCTTTATAATGACCATGACATTATGGGATGGGCTACCCCTGTAACTAACTCAGGTCAGCTGCCCTGGCTGACTCTAACTGCTAATGGCCTGCCTGACATGGCTGGGGTGTGTTTCTCTCCCCCCCAAACCAGGACATTTCCCTAATGTTTGCAGGCGGGCTAAGCAGTAATTTAACATGTAGGGTATTGAGTGAAAGTGGAGAATTTTATGCGTCTCTTCATCTTCCCATCCAGTAGACCTCAGCACATTCACTCCCTCTAGAAAATAAAATCACGTGCACAAAAAAAAACCTCCTGCGCTGTGTGTTTTTCCTTAACAGCCACCCTGCAGATTCCAGCTCTTGAGAGCCATGGTATCATCCATCATCTGCAAGGCAGAGGGTTGCAATCATCCCGTGTTCATCTGGCTTCAGTCACGCCTCTCGGACTAAGGCAGTGATAGCCAGGGCAGGGGTCAGCTCCAGAGGAGCCGTAAGTGCACTTAGAGGCTCGTGTGCTCTCCAGCCTCTCGGGGCGAAGGAAGAAACAACCGCTCATTTTCTTCTCAGGTCTTTTTCCCTTAGGCATGGGCAAAAGGAAAATATAGCCTTTTAAGATATCTTCTGGTACCCATCAGGGGTTTGCTTTCACTGTAACCTGAATGTACTGGGTTTTTTTTTTGGTTTTTGTTCTTCAGAGGAAACCCTATGCTAAGGCAGCTGGGTGGGAAGGTGTCTTGCTGTTTTTGTTTTGAGCTGTAAATTAGCGGATTACTCTTTGAATGCAACTTTCTGAAGCAAAGATGTGAATGTTGAGGTTTTTATTAATAAACTGACACCTCCTGTGAATGGCTTCTTCACCCTGGGGTGCTCGCCTCCTGCTCTGTGGCAGGAAGAGCACTTGCAGCTGATGAAAGGCTGTAGAGAACCCTCTGGGACTAAAGTGCTTAAGAGCGCCTCGGTTTGCCATATACAAAGGTTTACTTTGGGGCATTTGAAAAAATGTCTCATTAGCAGCTGATGACTTAGCAGGGCAGCTCTTGGTGTGAAAACCTAGAGCTGCCCCTTGCTGGGAGCTCAGGGTGGCTCTCTCGCCTGTCCCTTTCATTCCGTGGTCCCAAGCACTTTCCCTTGCTGCTCCCTGGCAGTAGGTTATCCGAGTCATCGCAGGCAGCCTCTCACTCACATTATCACAGTGTTTGTTTACCAGGCTGGCTCTGCCTGCTTTGCTGAATACTCCGTGTTTTAAGTGTCACGATGGGTGTTTAACAATCCCTGCCCTTCCTGCCGTTCTTCCCCAGCCCTGCCATACTCTGCACTTGTCCTTTCTCACCTGCTACAGCCACCTTCCTTTGTGGCTGCCCTTACCTTGACTGATACTATGGCAAAACAGTAACTCCTGTGTAAAGGCTGGAGCAGATGTGCAATTATTTCAGGAACCTTTTTGATTACCTCTGGATTTGCTGCTTTTTTCTTCTCACTGTGATGTGGATGTTTCTCTTCCCAGGCAGCGTGTGACTGTACTAGATGTCGGCATTTAGTGCAGCTTTCCTCTCATTTCTTCTGGAGCTCTTCTTGATGTATCCATTGGAACCAGCTCAGTGTCTAAGCAGACTTTCCCAGTTAAGGTCCCTCTTATTATTGCCACCTTTCATTCTGTGTCTTTTATTTATCTGTGAGCATTTCCTGTATTAGAGAGGATCAGTGTTTTTGTGGGTGCTTCGCTATGCACCAAACAGCCAGCAGTTAACAGAGAGAGAAACCTTACTGTCGCTTGCTCCACGTTGCTCTCGGGCACTCCTGCTTGCAGCACCCCCGTGGTGCAGCAGCATGCCTGTCGCCAGCTACTCTGCCTGCCATCTTCTCTGTGAGTCTTTGAGAGACTCCTATGTTTAGTCCTGGGCTGATGTTACCTGGGCTGCTTCCAAGAACAACAAAGAACTGCTTCCTCTATTCCTAAAACTGACACAGAGAATGAAAACTACAGCAGGATTATTTTTAGTTCTGTAAAAGTGCAGCTGAGGCAGCATTGCTACTCTGCCTGGCCAGAATTTGCTGTTTCAAATTGTCCCTGATAGGTGGGGAGTGTGTGCGTGGTAGATGGTAGTTTGAAGAGCATCTTATCTGCTATTCCTTGAGGTTTATGTTACAGTTTTGGATTGGACTGTCAATGCAAATGAGTCTGAAGTCCAAGATTAGTTTCTGGTGAGTGTTCATCACAAACCCCTCAGTTAAGGAACAGGAAGAAAAGTGCAGATCATAGCTGAGCTGCACTTGCAGAGCTGGGTGCGTGCATACAGCTCCTGAAGAGCTGCACTTTGAGACCTCGATGGATTTGGCGGGGCTGGGAAGAGCCGGTGACTGCAATAGCAGGAAGAGGTGCAGCTCCTGCCTGCGCTGTATTTACTGGGCTGTGTGTGACACCGGTGGGGACTGGAGGGGGAGGCTTCCTGCCTGCTTTTTGTTCAGTAGTTCTGTGCTCTGTGAACAGCGTGATACACCTGAGCATTTCTAATCAGGATATCCTACGTGCTCAGGGTGTTTGTATTTAAACATGAAATGCAAATATGAACTTTTATTGACCAGTTGCTTGATGTCTGCTGTAGCCCCGTCATGGACAACCTGCCTGCTTTTCCTTGTTGATTCACTTTCAGTGATCTGGTACCCCCACTACCTCGCAGCAGTCTCTGTGATTGGAAAGAAAGGAAAGTGCTTGCGTTCTTGCCCCAGAAACGCAACCGTTTGCCCCACTTCCTTGTTAGCAGCATCTTACAGCAGTGTTTTCCAGATGGCACTCTCTTGGGTTGTGTCTTTCATGCTGCTGCCTCTTTGCTGACCAGTGAGGGAGCAGTGCTCTGGCCACTGTGTGCTTCATTCAAGTCCAAACGCCTCCCTTGCATGTTTGTACAGTTCAACACTTAAACCTCTAGTGCTTTCGCTTATAAAAGGGAGAGTTGATGCTGAATACGTGTCTCCCCCTGAACTGATCCTTGGCCTAGCACTTAAATCTGGGGATTTCTGTGTCAAAGTAGTCACGGAGGCAGGATTCATAACCAAAAATTTGTAATGAGCGGCTGTGGAAATCAGACCCCTCTTGTTTAGAGTTGCAGATACTCTACTACTTAGTTGTTACTACTGTTAGCAAAATCCATCCTGTATCGTTAAAATTCTACCATAACTGTGTTCTGTGACTGTACAAGCTGATACCTGTTCAAGTCTTCGTAACCTTGGAGCTGAGCAGCCTCCCTTTGTATTGTCCTCAGCCTCTGCTGATTAGAATCTTGTTCCGCAGAAATGACTTGGTGTTATGCTTTGATAAAGTATTTATTCGGCACAATCAGGGCTGGTTTGTTTACTTGATAGTATCTAAGTGCTCTAATTCCAGCTAGCAGTCTAAAGTTCACAGGAGGGAAGATGATGTCAGGAAAAAGGAGATCAGACTGGTGATGATGAGGGCAGGGCATTCACAGTAGGATGCTCAGTCAGCCACCAGGAAAAAGCCTAAAAAGAAAATAGGAAAGCACTAACCATTTTGTTTTTGTGGCACCTCAGGATGAGATGACCTCAAGTTTGGGCCTTAGCACAAAGAAAGCACTCACAATCCTGAGAGACCAGTTGTCAGCACTGCTGGAGGGGCATCAGAAGGAGCGGAAAAAAGTGACTTCATGGAAGGTGAGGCACCAAACAGCACCAGGTTGGGCACTCGGTTTCCCCTTCTCAAAGTAAAGCTGAAGATGAAACGAAAGTTTGCTGCATTCCCTCCCAGACTGCTGATGCAGAGTGTCTGGACTGCTAAAGTCCTTGGGAGCAAAGCAAGGAATCTACCTAAGGGTATGTTTCTCTCAGCACTTCTCTCCTGTATGCTGGAGCTCTACAGAAGCTTAGCTTCACCTGTGAAGGACCTAGGGGGCTTCAAGAGCCACTGATGGCAGAGTGCCTAGGGGGTCCCTACCAGGTGGAGAGAAAGAGCTGTGAAACTCAACAGTCTCCCCTTGTCACCATGTTTGTCTGGTGTGTGTGTTGAATACAAAGTGCTAGTGTTTATGCACAGCACTTAAAAGTGTTCCTCGCTTGGTTAGTGACAACGGGTCAGCCTGGCACGGAAGCCTTTTCATTCTTCCAAGCAAGAGTAGAGCAGAGCATTCACCCAGACTCGCCAACTGAGCAATGGTTAGTGCTGTGCCATTCCCATAACTGACCTGGGATGCTCTGTATCATTTTCAGGGGTTTTACAAAGTTGTGTTCCCCCTGGAGTGTCAGCTGCAGCCTTCAGCCTTTCTCACTCTGCTTTTTCAAATGTCTGGCTCTTTATTTCATGAATGCTGACTGTCTGCTGCTCTCCTTTTGTAGGAGGTGTGGAGGAGCAGTTTTCTGTACCATGGTAACCGTTGCTCCTGTTTCCACTGGCCTGGTGCATCTCTGATGCTTCTAGCAGTGCTGTTGCTGCTGTGCTGCTATGGGAGCCAGCCACAGGGGAGGTGAGCAAAACGTCCTGTGCTGGTTAACTGAAGCAAGTTGGTAGTTTTATATAGTCTCGACACTGTGTGTGGCTGACATAACAGTGTTGGTCCTCATTCTGTCTAGACATCTAGACATTAGCATACTCACACTGGTAATTCTGTCCCTATCAGTCCCTTTCACAAAACTTCAGCCAACTTAATTCTACTTCTAATAGACCCATGGAGTGTCCTGTGGAGAGACTGAGATTTTTTTTCTACAGCATTCGTAGATCTTGAAAAATCCTAAGGCGTTAGCGTAGTTAGGAAGGATTTTGAAACCGGAGAAGTTAGTGGCTCATAGGAGAAGTTACTGTGCTGTCACATGTGCCATAGCCTTGACCGTATTTGCAAGGGTATTTTTTAATTGAGACGGGGCCTTTCAGACTTCTCTGGTGGCATTATTCTAAGGAAGAAGTGTGATCATAGCTCCCCTGGTTTTCTTTTTTAGCCGTAAGTCTGTGGGATGTAGGAATAAACCGCCAAGCAGGTGTGCATTTGTCTCTGTGGGTGGCTGGCAGTGTATTCTGCTCATTTACTCAAACCTCATCTGCTTTCTGCTTTCTTCTGTTTTGCTGTGCAAAGCCAAGGGGCTGAGATAGTTAATGCACTGGCACTCTTCCTCCTTCTCCTCTTGGATCTCTTCATGATCGGGCGTCAAGAGAGGCTGAAGTGCAGAGAGGTGGAGAGGAGACTTCAGACAATCATTGATAAGATAAATGGTGAGGTTTCATTCATCTCTCATTTGCATTTGTTTTCCTCCCATTGGATTTTTCTCCAAACCTGATCACATATGTTACTAGTTGAGCTTACTAGCCTTCCCCTATGTAACACAGAAACAAGCTGTGAGAGTTGTGTCCTACTCATGCCTGTCCTGTAGAATAGTTATTTTGAGCTGTCATGTGGCCATGTGCTTCCAATCTGTGTGTTATCAGGTGGGTGTCTGTTATGTCTGTGCTTTGGAGTAATTCGAATCCTCGGTATCTTACAAAAATATCTGCCTTGCAGCAGATGATGAGAGAAGAATACATGGGGTTGTACCACGACGTAGAACAGAAGGAAATAAATTGCTGTACGTGAGCATTGTCTCAACGGGGGCTTTTGAACCTGAGGAGGCAGTTCATTTCGGTGCGGCAGTTTTAAGGACAGCCTTTAGCTTTTCCATTGTACAAGTATGTATTTCAGGTTATAAAATGACTATGTTTAGTTGTTAATAGTGGGTGGAAAGAGAGGGGGAAAGCCATCAAGGAGAAAGACAGAGAGAGATGATAAAAGATCATGGAAATGGACTGAGTTTAGCACTGGAGGACCTATAGCCACTACAGGATGTAAAGCGATGGATGATTGGCCCCTCCAGAATTATTATCACTTAATTCTTTCACACTTTGTGCTTTCAGATACGCTTGACAAAGAGGTGAAATGGCCGGACTCCATGTACCCTGACCTTCACATGCCTTATGCCCCATCCTGGTCCCTTCATTGGGCCTACAGGGATGGTCATCTTGTCAACCTGCCTGTGAGCTTGTTAGTGGAAGGAGATGTCATTGCTTTGAGGCCAGGCCAGGAGTCATTTGCTTCTCTGAGAGGGATTAAGGTAACTTGCTTGTCGTATTTCCCTGGCCTGTAACAATATATTTCACAGGATTTTCTTGCTAATACTCTAATTCCCAGTGTACAGATTATTGGAGTGTTTCTTCTGACCTTGAAAATAGTTTCAAATTCCAGTTCAGTCAAGGACGGTGCTTTGTTAGACAGATTGCACCTTCTCTATGAACTCCCAAACCCAGTGGACAGGAGATACTATTGTGATACCAAAGCACCATATTTCCATCTCTTCCAGATCACGGGGAAAGTGTAATGTGCTGCTAAATATAAGTGGAGTGAATCTATCCAGTAGGATGATAGGACATAAAACCTCCCTACTTTATCCTGGTTTTTTATGTGGAGAAATAAAGATTGTCTGCTTTGACCTTCTCCTTACTACTGATTTATTATAAAAGAAGATAATAGAAAATACCTGGGGTAGAAGTAAATTAACAAATAAATTACAAGATCTATGCAAAGATTTTGCTGCTTGAAGATTGGAAAAGGTTTAAAGCTTCAAATTTACCTTTGTTGGTTTTTATTGTAGCTTTCACTCCAAATGCCAATTTTCTTGAAATAACCAGACATGCTTGAACACAAGCATTTCATTTTGCTTCAGGTTTGAAGCAATAATTTAGCTAATGGATTTTTGAGAGCTCAGAAGGGGAACTGTGACAAACACGTATTGTGTCACTTGCAGTGGGAAGGATCCTGCTGTACTAAACCTGCAGTCCCTTGCAGCAGGATTCCACCGAGGCCTGACTGTGCAGCCTTTGGGCTTTCTGACTTTTTTTTTTCTAGGATGATGAGCACATAGTTCTGGAGCCAGGAGATCTGTTTCCACCGTTCTCACCTCCGCCCTCCCCAAGGGGGGAAGTGAAGAAGGGACCTCAGAACCCTCAGCTGTATCGTCTCTTCCGTGTCTTGAAGACCCCAATAATTGATAATGTCAGGTGGGTTAAATACAGGGCACAATGCCTGCATAGCTTGTCTATGTCCTTGTTGCTGCTTTGTGTTGACAAAGAATGAGACTTACCGGTCCAGGACAGGAATTTTCAAATATGCTGTGCTGTGTTTTTTATTGCCTGGGAATGCTATAAGTCTGTTACTGTCTGTCTGCAATTGTCCTCCTTCACTGGTAGGTTAGGCTAATATATAAACCCACGTATGACAAGTATTAGTGTTCAGCTTATTACTTTCCAACTGAATTGAAACAATGCAGGGATGTCACAGATTTCATGCATTTCATGTAACCAGTGAAATGACACCCTTTGGTCAACTGGAGATACAGGTATCTGAATGTCCTGTTGGAGTTTCAGTACACATTGGGGCGATGGACCCTTCCTGTTAAGCGGGTGAGGAGACCTGGGGAGTTTGCTCAACAGCACTGCAAACTTACCATGGCAAGTGCAGCGCTGTTGACGTAGAACTTGTCTTCTCTTTTGAAGGTCATCCCTCATAGCGTAGGGCGAACATGGCGTTCTAATCAGGTCTGCTAGGAGGTTTTTATCTGAGGAAAGTGCAAGGTCAGGGTCTTGGTTGCTGAAATCTCAAGCTGTTTTCTGTTTTCTAGGTGGTGTCTGGAAATGGCTTTGTCACGTCCTGTGACAGCCTTGGATAATGAGAGATTCACTGTACAGTCAGTGATGCTGAAATACGCTGTCCCCATTGTACTGGTAGGTCTCATTTCAAGCCTTTGTTGTTGAATATAGCCATGTTTTGTCAATAAAGGTGAAGAATTTGCAGCCATCAACAGGAAATTGTGGCCAGGTCCTAACTCATGCAGCTGACTCTGTGTGTACCTTGGGTGGTTCAGAGAAGCAAAGATGCTGAGCCATCTAGCTGTGAGAGTGGAGGGAAGAACTGCAGCATCAGACCCTGTAAATCTTCCAGACTTACCCAGGGCTGAGAATGTCCGAAGGCAGGGAAAACTCCTTCCCTACAAGTACTAGTGGTTAGCTGACAGTGTCACCTCTGTTTCAATTGCAGGCTGGCTTCCTGATCACCAATGCTGTGCGCTTCATTTTCAAAGCTCCTGGAATTGCTTCTTGGCAGTACACTCTTCTTCAGCTACAGGTAAAGAAGAGCTTTGAGGTCCACTACACCTCCTCCCTAGAGCACCACTGAGACCGATTCCCTCCCTCAGCGACTTGCTTCATCCTGTGACAGCATCCTGTGCACGCCTTGTGCGTGCTGGATCCGGGAGCTCTCAGTGGAGCAGAACAACAGCTCTACCCTGGCCATTCCTCCTAGACTGCCCTTTATGTTGTTTGCTCTCTCATTTCCCGTGTATATATATATATATAAGTGTGTGTGTATATCTATATATGGTATCCTTTGCCTTTAAACTTGTGAGGGTTTATGCCAAATTCAGCATGCAAGTTGGTGTGATTTATTCATGGTCTCCTTCATTACAAACCCCTAAGGGTATGTGTGTCTCCCCTCCTGTGCTTCCTGTTTCCAGTGCAAGCAGTCTCCTTCCTTTCTGCCATTGCCTTTTACCCATCCTCTCTCTGTGGTGGAAAAGATGCCATGTGAGAGGTCTGACTGCTGGTTGTCTCCGTGCTTGCTGGTAATTACAATTTTTTTTCAGGTGAATGGTGTCCTACCCATCCTTCCGTTACTCTTTCCTGTCCTGTGGATTCTTGCTACGGCCTTTGGAGAAGCCAGAGTCTTGGCCCAGATGAGCAAGGCCTCATCCACCTCACTGGTAGGTATCTCTCCACATCAAACCATTGCGGAGAAAAGGGCAGGACATGAGAAGGGCTCTTGAAGTGAGCACGGTGAATTCAGCGCACGATGAATTCAGCAGATGTGTCCACATAATTGTACAGGCTTTGGCTCTTTGGTTGTCCCAGCTATGCCCTCTCCCTGGAGCACAGTGTGGCTGCTTCTTGAACAGACGTTTTAATTTTTTCAACCTGTCTACAGATGTCCCAAGGTGATAGGAAGCTCTAGTGATTCTGTAAATGTCTTCAAGGCATGTGCTTTCTATCAGCTAAATATAATCCGTCAGAGGGGTCAACATGGAGATAAATGCCCTGTGGTGGCTATAGCTACGGAACATTTAGCCACTGAGAAGGAACGGGATACATGAGATCTTCTGCAATCCCCTGTTCTAATGTGTGGGCTGAACGGCCCTTTCCTGAGTCACGGCCTTTGCAGTGGATCAGGGAGCAAGAGGAGTTTCTGGTGGTTGTGCTGGTTTGGGGAATGGAATTTGGTAGTCTGGTGGGTGTGTGACCCTGAACTGGTGGCGCTGACAGGTGTCTCTTGTTCTCTCCTGGTGGCAGTGTTGGCGAGATGCATTGTGCTGTGTTTGTCTTCTATGCTGACTTCTGTTACGCCTGTAGTTGGACAGTTTCTCTCTCCTCCTTGTCCTTCCTTGGCCTCTGTGGCCCTGGATCTGTATTTTCTGTTCTTTTCACTATAGGTTGTACATGACTGAGCTGCCCCTGGCGTGGGAGGGAGGACACGTTACCTCCCTCAGTGGCGTTTGCACCTTTACTATCTTTTTTCAGTGTTTTCTCCACTTTACCCTTCCCGCCTATTCTCAGCATCACTTGGTTTCTGTCTTTGCAACCTTCCTCTTCCCCTTTGCACCTTTCTGTTTGGCTGGGAAAAGCCAGAGCTCCTTGGCTTCCCTGCTTCATGATTCTCAACATTACCATTTGCCCTGTGCCTCATACTTGCACCTTCCTTGTGTTCTTTCCTGTCTTCTCCTTTTTCTCGTCCAGGCAACTCAGTCTGTCCAGCCAGCTCTTTCTGTGACATCTCAAACATGATCCTTCATCCTTGCCGCTGCAGAACAACTGTTGTGATGTGCCTTGGTCATTCTCCCCCTTGACTAGGGCAGTCTTCTCTTGGCCTCTCTGTTTTACTCCTTCCTTCTCTCTACTCTGTTCAAAATGTCACAGGTAAGACCCTCGTCCTCTCCAGTCACTTGGCCTGTGTGACGCTATTCTCCACCTTCTGCCCCCTCCCGTCGTGTTCAAGCTGTTTGATTCCCAGTTTTTCAGGGCCACAGGTGACCCCTGTGGCTGGTTAGTCAGACATCCTGCGGGATACAAACCAGTGCCCCCCCAAACGAGCCCCTGTCTCAAGTTGCATTACTACAGTTGGACTACAGCAGCAGTCCTTTTAGGAAGGAGTTCGGTGTTGGTTTGTACTGCCTTTGACAGGTTGTTTCAGTAATTATTTACCTTCACTGCTAAAAATGGGCATTCTACGTTAGAGGGAATTTTTTTAGTGTGTGATTTCCAGCCCTTGGAACATTTACATCTTTTGTCTCCTAGATTTAAGAGCATGTCAATCACTTTTCCGGTCTGTTGTAGCTACTCACATTCCCTTTTACCATCTCTTTGCTTAAGTAAACAGTTTAAGCACCTTGAGTCACTATAAGCATATTTTCCAACTCTCTAATCTTTCTCTTGGCTTTCCTCTTAGCTTTCTCCAGTGCTTCAGGATCGCTGTAGAACTATAAACTCTGAAACCCACAAAATACTCCAGTAACAGGTGTACTTGTGCTAAATTTCAGAACAATTTGGACTTCCTACTCTTTATGTTCCCTTGTTAGTACAACAAAGGATGATACTAGATCTTTTAGCCACTGCTTTAAACGGCTAGGCTTTGTCCAGCTGAAAATCTACAGAGTTATTGCTTTCTGAGATAGAGTCCTCATCCTGTGAGTCCAACCTGCATTTTTGCTTGTAGGTACACAGCCTTCCTTTTGTGCCTGTTGGTATGCATGTTTTTGCTTATTTACCAAGCAATCCATATTGTTCTGTAACAGTGGTCTGTTCTTTTTATTGTTGGACCCTGCCCCAAACTTTGTATCGTTTACAGTCTCTATCAGTAATGTTTTTTTAGTTTTCTTTCAGGCTGTTAACAAAATACTCAGAATTTGTCCCTGCTTGTGCTGGTAACACATCCTATTGCAAATAATTCCTCAGCTTCTGTTCCATTTGGAGATAGTCTATTTCTAATATATTTAATATGGACCCTATTTCTCCAGTATTACTCTAGTTTTTGTTAGAAAACCAGTAAAGCATTTTGTATCAAGTCCAAATACCAAGTGGTCTATGTCAAAAGCATTACTTTTATCAGTCAAATTTGTAATTTTGTCAAAAAAAGGTATCACAATAGTCTGATGAGATTTAGTACTCGTGTACTTGTGGTGTTTGGCACTGATTGTATTATTCCACTTCTTCTCTTTTAATTGAGTCTCATATTAGCTGCTCTGTTATTCTGTCGGAAATCAAAGTCTGTCTGGGGTCCTGCGGTAACTTGGTTTGTTCTCCGTACCCTTTTTAGGCATTGGCACTGCGTTAGCTTTCTTCCATTGCACTGGGACTTAATCCATGCGTCAAGCCTTGTGCAAAATCAGCAGTAACAAAGTTGTCCAGACCTGCTAATTTAAACATATTGACTTTCAGTAGCTAGTGTTAGAATGGAAAATATTTCATAGTTATCATATGGTATGATTATATCACTGAATAAGGAACAGCAATATTTATTTAACACGTCTGCCTTGCCTGCAATATCATTTGCAGTTTCACTGTCTTCAACAAGCAGTGGACTGGTTTTAATTGGTATACTTTTTCTTATTTTTATGTTAATTTTTACTTCTGTTTTCACTTCCACCCAAAACTGGACTTTTTTATTTTTACTATGGGATTGTTGCTTTTTAAAATTTTATTAAAATATTGTTAAACAGTTCCTAATTGTCCTTCATAGTTCTCAGTTTAAGTTATTTCTGACAAATTTGTCTTGGATTTTTTCAGCTTTGTTAAACTGATCCTTTTTAAACTGCCAGATACATGCATTATTATTTGGGGTGTTGTTTTGTTTACATACAAATGTAATTGCCATATTCACTAATGCTTATGAATATACTTAAATTTAAACTGTTTTTTAAAATTACCTCCACTGTCAAATTCCTTTGTGCTGGATGCACACATTTTGAGTTAGTGAATTTCTCGGTGTAAATCCGAGAGCCCCATGGTGGTCGCCCTGCTATAATTTCTTTTCGTTTCCTACCCACATCCCATTCCTATCACCTCATTCCTCTGTGTCCATTGTGTTCCAGGCACCTGCTTTTACAACCACTCTTCTAGCTCCCTTCTTTTCACTGACCCGTATAGCTTAAAACCAGATCGGTCAATCCTGGCTCTTTCTGTCTAAAAATAACCATCCAGAAAGAGCCTTCTCTGGGTCTAATTGCTGTTATTTTCCCTGAGACATTTAGGTAATGACTGTGTGTTCTTCGGTGGTGTGCAGCACCAGGCACTTTGACTGTGCTTCACAAGTAGATAAAGACATAGGCCATTATAGACTTAATTGCTTTGATGAATTATTGGTCTGCCTTGGTATAGCGATTCCCACGGAGCAGGACTCCTGCTTTCTTCTCTCTGAAGGCATCATATTTAGGGAAGGATGTTCCTCACGACACATTTCTGAGCACGATTATAGTAACTGGTCTCTTCTCTTGCTGCAGCTTGCTAAGTTTTCAGAGGACACTCTCAGCAGCTACACAGAGATGGTATCTTCTCAGGTACTATTATTATGAATTGTTTTCTTCCATCTTCACTGCAGAACTTCATGATATCCTTTCCCTTCCTCTCTGATCTCCTGCTTGTTCCTAGACCCTTTTTACTTGTGTCAGTTGTCCGTTGTCACTCATTTGCTGCTTTAATTAGCTATGCATGCAGGTTGCATGTCTTTCCCCTACACCTTCCCATGTAAATGCTGCTCTGCTGACCAGAGATTGAGGTGACTTTGGTACTGAGTCCAGTTGTGCTTTTCTGAATATTGCAAATGGTTTGAAATCAACTTTTTCTGTTCTGAAGAAAATACCTGTTTCAAGTCCTTCTGTTCTAGGAGTAAAATAAACTTTTTATAGTGTGTGTCAGAAAGAAGGGAAGTATTTTGCTTGTACCAGAAAAACCTCCTTCAAGCCAAACCTAAAGAACAGAGGGAATGGCAGTCAGCACCAAGACCGAATGTGAAGAGGGAACCATGGGAAGTTCAGGCTTTTTAAAAGTCTGATCCTGTTTCATAGGCTCCTTAACAAGCTTAAGCACATTACTAGTGCTTCCAAAGCCAGGGCAAATAAACATTCAGAAGAGCTTTTTCTGGGGGAGGAACTGCATCTGGCCACTGTACAAATTGCATCATCCAGGTTAAACAGGTGGGTAGAGGAAAGACACTTTTCTGTCTAATCTGGCATTAAGATTGCCCTTTCCATAAGGAGGCAGATGGACTCCAGGAGTGATTCAAAATCCCTAGATATTATCAGAATCAATTTGTATCTCCTTGCTCCCAGCCACGCAGAGGAATGCACGTGGATGCAGACACACGTGCTTCCTTGGCTGAATGTTTTGTTGCCTTTCTGTGCTAGTTCATCATTCAGCTGAGATGTTTTTCAGGTGTTACATGGGAGTGATTTGAGCTGACCTTCCTCCTTGGAAAGGTCTGCTTCTTTCCCTTTGTACCTATGTAACATTTTTGCTCATGAGAAACTGGTTTAAGTAAGAGGTTTTTTCCTTCCCAGTGATAGCTCATGATTGTTTTGCATTTGAGCTTATGGCTGTACTAACCCTTAGGATCTAAGGAACTTGATCTAAGGAGCTTTAGAGGAAGTGCTCTGCAGTGACAGCATTCCAGAACAACAGCTAAAAAGCAGGAAAATAGCACTGTAATACAAACCTGGTTTTGCTGGCTTTAGAATTGCACAGAGAAAAACATACAGCTCTGGTGCTCGGATTGATTGCTGCCATGCAGACTCCCTCTGAAACATTTTCCTGTGGAAGATGACGCGTGCCAACTTGACATTTTAATTTTGCAAAATATCCCCTTCTTTCAGTTTATTACCACGTTGATTACAATTCATTTGTAATGATGGAGTAATCAGGGCACCTTGGCTTTATTTCCAACATTGTCACTGCCTCAGTAAGTAGAGCTTGGCCAGACTTGGGCGAGTCGCCTCACCGTAGTGACTCCATTTACCCGGTTTGCAGCACGGTGATCGTAAGCTTAAGGCCTCAAACTCTATAATCCGAGGGGATGAGAGTTACTTTAGGAAAAAATGCTAAGAGGTAACAACTGATTCACCCCAAATGAAATCACTTCAGAATTCCTTCCTGGGTTTTTTGGATAGACAAAGGTAGTTTCAGAATTCTCAATTCAACAGTCACACTGTCTGTTAGCATCCTCTGCAAGGGGGAAGAAATGCCTTTCACTTGAGAACATCAGCACTGTATCAGTTAACAGGTTCCCACGGAGTCCGATGTTTATCTTACAGTGTATCACTGTGTTGAACCTGAAAGCAGGTAATGTCACACTCCCTTCTTTCCTTCTCTCCCCTCATCTTTCACTGAACGAGTGTTTAATTGGCTGATGTCCTCTGCTTCCCTCGTCAGGAAATGATACGCTGTATCTGGAGCCACTTCCTCTGTGTTTTGAAAGGCAAATCCCCAACTCTGAGCTTCACTTCCAGCTTGCTCCATAGTCTGGGATCTGTCACTGTGAGTATTGCTGGGTTGTCAGAAGGAGGAGCCCTATGTGGATGCTTCATTGGCATCGTTCATGTTGTCCTTCCTTGAGCATAGGCTGTTAGCAATCAGCTCACTGTGCTGGAATTAGAAACCTGTCAGGCTCCTGTCTTTGTAGAAGAGTTTATAACTGTCTTGTCTTGTCCAGGCAGCATATTTACAGGCTAAAACAATGGTTACAGATACTCTGTGGCATCTAACAGGATGTTGGTATTTTCTGGCTCTGGTTCTGGTTCCATAACCCTCTTGACTCCTGTTCAAGAACCAGCTGGTTTGGGTCCTCGTAAAGTACTAGCTGGTGGAACAGATTGAATAGTTGTGTCCTTCCCGTGGTCTTCATGCCTTGTTTAGCAATATCCTGAGATAAAATTGGTGTTAAACAACCCATCAATCCTGCTAGACCAAGGAATTCTTGGTTTTCTTGGAAGGTTACTAGGTGCAGTTTCTTAAGACAGAAGGTTGGCAAAAGAGAGACTTGTTTATCGTCCCATGTGTTTATTAAACTTGTGCTGTTTACAACTATGGATGAACACTGAGACACATTTTCACTGAGATTTTGCTTTCTTGGGGGTGTTGTGGGATGTCCTAGGTGCTCTGCTGTGTAGACAAGCAGGGGATTCTTTCCTGGCCAAACCCCAGCCCAGAGACTGTTCTGTTCTTCAGTGGGAAGGTGGAACCACCTCATGATAGCCATGAAGATCTGACTGATGAGCTCTCTACACGGTCCTTCTGCCATCCTGAGATGGAAGACGAGGTGAGTGACATGTAATCCATAATGCGGTATGTTGGCTTTAGTCAGTTTGACTGACACGCCCGACATGGTATTATAGAGGGGGCCCTTTGCTTGTAGAGAAGTGCTGTGCCATAATTCTTTGCTTAAAAGGTAAAGAAGCAGTGAGGATGAGATCCTCTTCTACAGGAGTCCTGAAGCAGCAGGTGAATCAGTAGTGGCTCATGTTCAGTCACTAAATCAGCACTGCTCATTTTGTTGGTCTCTTGCAGCCCCATGAAAGAGATGCTTTGCTCTCTGGCCCCCTGGCAGACACAGTCCACATGACCAATGAGCAGGAGAGGAACAACTGGTCTAGTGACCCTCCAAAGGCTCCCGATGCCCATGCCCACCGAAAGCCAAACAGCAGAAGCAAGCATCCCTCTGGGTCCAATGTGAGTTTTAGCAAGGACACAGAGGGTGGAGAGGAGGAACATACTCAGGTAAGACATACTGAAGGGGCACACAAGTAGTCTTTTGTGGAGCTATGAGACAGACTTAAACCCATAGAGTCTCCCCTTTTGGGAATTTAACTGGGAAGTCCCCGCGGGATTCTACGCTTCAGCTGTGTTCATTGTAGCTAACTAGAATTTTCCTGTCTGTTGGACCAGGTTGTTGGTGACAGTGAGGTGTTGGCTTGTGAGGCTGAAGACTTTGTGTGTGACTACCACCTTGAGATGCTTAGCCTGTCCCAAGACCAGCAGAACCCCTCCTGCATCCAGTTTGATGACTCTAACTGGCACATGCACTTGAATTCCCTCAAACCTCTGGGCCTGAACGTGCTGCTCAATCTCTGCAATGCCAGTGTGACAGAGCGTCTGTGCCGCTTCTCTGACCACCTCTGCAACATTGCCCTTCAGGAAACTCACAACGCCGTGCTGCCTGTCCACGTGCCCTGGGGCCTTTGTGAGCTTGCCCGGCTAATAGGTAAGGAGAAATTGGATGAGCAGACACGGAGAAATCAGAGCTGTCAATAGACACTTAATCCTTAGAGAGCACAAGAAAGATAATTCCCCAGTCCTGGTTGCTGAGAAGGTGGAATTACAGAGCTGACTGTTGTTGTTTGGTTGCCAAAAGAGTCAGTTAAAGAGATTGCTTTTGGCAAGTTCTGACATTGTAGACGCTATCAAAGGAACAAATGTCATCAAGGGTATTTCCAGCCAGCCCTGGCTAGGCTTGGTTTTCTTCTGGCTCAAGTCTGGCAATCTAATCAGGAGACAGAGAATACCTGCTAATGGACAGATAGCTGCCCTGTCTTTACAGTAATGCTTTACCAAGAGTTTGGACATAAATGATTAGGTACCTCAGCTTGTTTTGTAGATGGGAAAACCAAGGCACAGGGGAGATGAGAGGTTAGAGGCAACACTAGGATTAAAATCTGGAAGTTTTTGAACTCAGTTCTGTGCCTGTACTTCAGTGTCACAGTTCTTCCCTTCGATAAGCCAGAAGCATGAAAGCTGTAATTACAAATAACATCTAGTCCTTCTAAATGTTTTCCATCATAGATCTTGAGCCACCTTGGTGTAGATGCACGGTGAGCACAGCTCACCTACCTCTTGCTGGAGAGACGTCAGAATGAGCACAGGCAAAGTGGGTGGCACAGAAGCAGGAGAGAGGACCTTTCTTTTGCTTTGATTAGAACCTAATTTTTCTGCTCCTTGTGTTCACATTTCAGGTTTCACACCAGGCGCTAAAGATCTTTTCAAGCAGGAGAACTATTTGGCCTTGTACCGCTTGCCAAGTGATGAGATGGTTAAGGAAACAATCCTGGGGAAGCTTTCATCGATCACCAAGAGGAGACCACCCCTGAGCCACATGATCAACCTTTTTGTGAAGGACACCACTACCAGTAAGGCTGCCCCTTTCTTTGGGCATCGACGGGGTACGGGAGGATCTTTTCACAGAGAGCCTAGAAGATGTCAGACTGGAATAGTCTGGTTTCCCTATGGGGTGGTAGCCTTGCTCTGCCCATGGCCAGTACAGATACGCTCAAACTTTAGTGCTCAGTGCTATGGCATAGTATGGGGGGGGGAAATTCTTCCCAGTTCTGGCTCACTCCAGGATCATGAATAGTATTTTAAAATTATCTTAGATAGCACATAGTAAGCCTGTTTTCTGGAACCAAGTGGCAGCGAGGTGGGGGTTTTATTTGGTTTTGAACAGACTTCATTATGGTAGTGAAACTGATTCTACACAGGGTTGAATATTACTCAGGGTTTAGCTAGTGATGCTCATCCTTCTGATAACCCAAATCATAAATCATTGTCCTCATGAGTTGTCTAATGTATTATATTGCATACTAATAAGAAATCACAGAAATCCTGTGCAACCTCAGGGTGGCTGTGAATCCCACACCTGAAGCAATGCTGACTTCTCCACTCCTTCCTATTCTAATAGGAATGGGCTAGGATGAAAGGACATGCAGCTGGGCACCGTGAGGTCTTAAAGCACCTCAGCAAGATTTAACAGCTTGCCTGTCAGAGCTCTTAGTCTCTTCATAATACTTTAAATTAACTGAACTTGGCTGTCTGGAGTTGACATATGTTCAGTATTGAATCTGAAGTATGATTATTATGCTGGCCAGAGATTTACCGGGTAAACTGTCTTCTCTTGCCCAGTTCTTCTTAAATTTGTATCTTAATGTGAGGAGGTGCTTTTTCACTTGTCCTGATCGCTGCTATCTTGCCTTTGTGAGCAAGAATTGCTCTGATGCTGAGGTTCTTAGCATAGGGAAAAACCTTTAATGTTGCCTCATTTCAACTCCTTATCCTCATTTTTAAACGATTTAGTTTAGAGGCTGGAGCTCAGACGAATACGTGTGTGACCTGGATTATGCTGTCTAGAGTAAATTCTAAGAGGAATTTTGCCAGGGGGGTTAGTTAACCATTGGAACACCTCTCACATGATTGTCCCTTGAAACTTTCTAAAATATGTACAACCAGAAATAATGGATTGTGCAGGTAATATTGAGTAAAATCAAATGGCTCTGTTTATGCAGAAGAGTCAGACCAGCTGATAGTAACTAACCTCTCTTGATACATTAGTTGTGAATAAATCTTTGAATCCACCCACTCCCATGACATGCTGAAGTCAAAGGGAGATACATAATAAATTCTAAAGCGGTAGCAGAAATAGAAGATAGCTTATCTGTATGTTCCCTTGCTATTCCATTAAAATATGTGACTCACCAGCTGGCAGTGTTCATCCCAAATCCATAGTAACCACATGGAAATGAGGGGCTCACCAGCATCTTCAGTGGAGTAAAATGGCTTGATACCATCTCTGCCTTCCTTTGCTCTAGCTGCACTCTTCACTTGCTTTTGCTCTCTCTCACTGGCTCAGCTGTAGCAGCTTGGTTCTTCCTAACGAGCCCCAGCAGTCATGAATGGCTAGTCATTCTCCCTGTCCTATTCATTAGTTTTCTCCCTTGTGCCAGAGAAATCCTGGCCTTCAAGTTCATCATTAAAGAAGGGAAGAGGCTGAGCTCACTTTACTGGCAATGACAGCTGAATGAACTCCTTCCAGTTTATAGTATGTGCTGTCACTGTCGTTTACCCCTTAGAAGGACCATTGTGGGGGATGCTGATGGTACTGAATGGGAAATGGATTGCAGTTGCTGTCAGGCATAAACATTGGTATGTCTGTGCGTGTGGTCATCTGCAAGCTCTTGCTTTGTGTCCAGGGCATGGATTTTGGCATGAATCAATAAACATCTCTTGTTCCCTAGCAAAGACTATCTGACCCTAGGAGCAAGGTGGGAAGGATTAGGTGTTTATACAATAAAGTTAACCAGAGCCCTGCACAAGCCCTCCTTTGTGTCCCTGAGACAGGCTCCTTCTTTCACACAGAGCTCCTATTTGTCTTGGAGGTTTGTTATGCTGATAAACTTGGCGTGTGATGACTATTTATAGCAGAAAGCAGAGAGCTGCTATGTTTTGGAAATTCGTCCGGTGTTCCTGAAGGTCCCTGCCTGGTTTGTGCGAGTGGTTATTCTTGGCTCTTGATTTTGCCAGCTAATGCGAGCATTTGCAGTCAGCAACAATGCCTGCAAGAAGCCTTTGGGCTCATTTTTCTTGGCAGTGATGTTTTTTTCATTAGATCAGCTTTGAAGCTGTTGGGGGCAAAGTCACAGAGCAGCTGGAAGGAGGGAACCTAGACAGAGAAGTCTACGTGCAGGCAATGTTAATGTATCAGTGCAAATGAAAGGGAGCAGGAAGTGTGGAGGGGGAGGCAGCCCTGCATCCTTCAGCTGGTGTCCTGTGCCTGGGACCTGCATCAGACGAGTCATATCACACACCTTTGAGAAACACTTAACACCTGTGTCTACAAGAGGGAATAAAAGATTTTAAGTCTGTATTAAAGAGTAAAGTAGTGGAAGAAAAAAACCAGGCCAAGCTGTGGTGTTCATTGATTTTCAATTCTTCCCCGATCACAACATGAGTTACATTTTTAGAGTCTGTAACGTTGAACTTTTGACCCATCCTGATTTAACACGTTTTCAGGATGCTTTGTGAAACAGGCTGCTACCTAATGGGTCACACTGTTAAATTATCTTCTGCTGCTTGAATGGAAGGTATTCAGGAATAGCTCTTACTCTTAGATCCACGCTCGGCCTAAAATTGAATGCATTTTCCAGCGTAGGCAGACTTTGATCCTCATAGGCTCATCAGTGGACCTTGTACTCTCATGAGAAGAGGCACACAGGAACATCTTTTCTTCTGCTCTGTTGGATACAGAAGTAAGATATTATCCCGCCTTTTGTAGGAGCAGGATTGTTACACAGTGTAAGGGGAGAATAGGCACTGACTATGTGGCTCCCATTTTATCACAGCCTTGTTTGAACTCAGTTAGACAAACAGCAGCTGAATATATGTCATCCAGTCTTGAATAATTTCTTGATGGAAACTGGAGACTTTCAACAGAGGAAATGGGGTATCTGGAGTGCATCGAGGCAGTTTGCGGGAACACTCACTTTTAACAAATAAGGGAGCAGTTGGTTTGATATCCCCTTCCTAGGAGCCTGTGTGTGTGATGCTGACTCATTGTTCTCCTACACCTCAGGCACTGAGCAGATGTTTTCTCATGGGACAGCTGACATCATCCTCGAGGCCTGCACAGACTTTTGGGACGGTACCGATATCTACCCCCTCTCTGGCTCTGACAGGTGGGCAGCTTTGTCATTTGGCGCATTCAGGAGCTGCAGATAAATTGCAGAGGGAACCTGGTCACTCTTTGTTAAAATTCCCTTTACTGATGCTTATTAAGCTATTTAATAGAAGCTTCAAGTAGGTTATGAACTCGAGCTGTCTCTGCTTATAATTAATGGCTATAGTTATAGCCACATAGGAGGTTAGGTAGCAACAAGCGACCTGTTGGACTGTAAGACTAAGCCACTTCTTCCTGTATCCTTTAAGATATTAGCCTCTAATAAGCGGACTCTGACTGTAGTAGGACTGTGAATTGTAGTCAAATCATATGCTGGTGGCAGAGATTTTGTTGTTGTTCAAGACAAGTGCAAAGTGATCAATTCTGCCTGCTGCTGACAGCTGCAAACCAGCCCACCACAATGCATCGCACCCTTTTAGTCCTGCTGCGATATCTGGCAGCGTCTGTTGCATTTTCATCTATAGGCTGAATTTCTGTTACGGCTGGCAGAGCAAACCAGCAACGTGTAGTTTCGTTGGCTAGCAGCACATTGTTCTTCTAAGTCTGTTTGTCATCAGGTGTAAGAAAACTCCCACTGGTCCTTTTTGGAATATTTAACATTTTAGAAGCCAATGAAGAATCCCGTGTAGAGTCTAATTTGTCACCTTTGCGAGCTCAACATAGAGAAGGAACTTTACAGTATTGCATTGACTCAATATTGACTAAGTGAAGACTTCATGTACAGCTCCCAGGACCCAAACTCTGAAAGGGGATAGGAGAAAAGTCTGTTACTGAACTAGCTCTGCCATAGATATGTGTATTGCGAACACACTTATTATTAATAAGTGTGTTTATACTCATCAGTCTGTCTGATGAGCAAACAGACAGGTTCACCACTGCCCCTGTTGGAATATGTGGGGTTTTTGCCCTGTAGTGCCTGCAGCTTAGAGAATGCAGAAACAGTAAGGAAAAGCTTTTTCAGTCTCTGCCCACTCCTCACGGAATACATTTTTCCAAATACCCAGCTGGTGATTTCTACATTGAACTACAGCGTGCATTGTCAGAAACGCGGCGCATTTCTGCTCACTTTGTCTGGTTTTTGTCTCTTCCACGTAGGAAGAAGGTGTTAGATTTCTACCAGCGAGCCTGCCTCTCAGGATACTGTTCTGCCTTTGCATACAAGCCAATGCATTGTGCCTTGTCCTCTCAGCTGAACGGCAAGTGCATAGAGCTAGTGCAGGTCCCTGGGCAGAGTGCTATCTTCGCCTGCTGCGATCTGCCTGGGACCACCCCCATCAAACAGAGCAGTCGGAGGAATAGCTGGAGCTCAGATGGTACGTGTCTTCTGCGCTGCCTATGATAAGGTCTGCTGCTGGGCCAGGTGCTTGCTTTCTGATCAGTCTAGAGCTGTGAGAACATTGTTGTTCAGAGTACCAGATGGAAATTGAGAACTAAGGGTTTCTGAAGTAGATGGATTTCCAGAGGAAGTAATGATGAAGCAGCTGGTAGGTATGTTTCTAGTTAAGTTATTGAAGCTTGCAGAGAAAGTCTTCTCCTTATGGGAAGTCTGTTTCTTAAGGCAGGCAACTGAGAGTCAAGGCTTCTGGGTATTTCAATACTTGATTTGCTGTTTGTCTAATTTTATGGAAATCACATATGTTGGGCTTTTCAAAGGAATTAAATGTATGGTGGTATGCAATTATTCTCCCTTGATGGATTTTGTTGCTGTGCTGAAGGAACTGATTCCCACTGGATGAACTGTACATCTCCTCCAGAACAGCAATGGAGACTGAGAGATAAGCACAAACCAATACATAACTCCAGGAGGCTCTTTTGGAAAACCAGTCTCAATCTCCTTCTGCCTTGGTCTCCCTTTCTGTAAAATGTGAATAATGGGGTTTCCAACAGCTGGGAGACAGTTGTGACTGAGTGTTTTCAAAACACTCTTCAGTCCCTCCCTGTGGCAAGCTTGCAACTGTGTGAAGTGTTTTATTATTTTCTTCCTCATGCTGCATCCAGCTCCCATTCACCACAGGCTGATCTGTTGATGGTGAAGGAACCCTGTCAAAGAGCCTTTGCAGGCTCTTTGGGAGTGTCTGCAGTGTCACTGGAGGGAACACAGTCCAGTTCCTTTGCATCAGCCCCTCCTAGCCTGATGCCACTCTGCCTCAACTAGACTCGCCATGTTGTTTAAGCACAGTATGATGTGTTTAAAATGCACATGTGAACATTATGCAGCATATGTCCTTTGCCTTTCTGCCCCGGTTCCTCGTGACTGATCCCTGTCTTCTGTTTTGTCTTTTTCCTTTCCACGCTCGCTGTTTCACACTTGTATTCTCGGTCGCATGCGTGGGGATGTCCTGAAACCACTTCTGTGATTGGGTACGCTGGGACAAATGGGTATCTCTTCATCTTTCCTCCTGGCTGTGTGTGTATCTGCACGATGCTGTGTATCGGTACTGTGTCCTTGGGTGTTACTGTGTTGGTGGCCTCTCCCACCGTGTGTACTTTGCCTGATACACATGTGGCCCCTTGTGTCTCAATGTGATTGCGTGTTGTTTGCATGCCTGAAGAAGGGATTGGGGAAGTGATGGAGAAGGAAGACTGTATCCAGGCTCTGAGCGGACAGATCTTCATGGGAATGGTCTCATCTCAGTATCAGGCCCGCCTTGACATTGTCCGCCTCATTGATGGATTGGTCAATGCCTGCATTCGTTTTGTCTACTTCTCCCTGGAAGATGAGCTCAAAAGCAAGGTAAGCTGTCTTTGCCAAACCCCCTGAACTTGCATGTCCCCTGGTTGTCTGGCTGGAGATTTTAGCTCCGGTGCAATCTAAGGTTAATCTGATTCAGCTAGCTAATGGGTCCAGAAGGTACCTACGCTCCAATATGGCATTGGTCTGCAATACTCTGGCCTGGACAGTGACACTAAAATCTTTTGTCTGCTCACCTACAGGTGTTTGCCGAGAAGATGGGTCTTGAGACTGGCTGGAATTGCCACATATCTTTAACGCCTAATGGTGATGTGCCTGGCTCAGAGATCCCTCCCTCTAGCCCCAGCCATGCTGGCTCTCTGCACGATGACCTACATCAGGGTGAGAGAACTGCACCTAAGCCACTTTGAATGCCACAAAGGGTTTTCCGGGATGGTTCTTTTAAAGCCGTTTGTAGGTTCCTGTGTCCTCATCAGATACCCGATCCTTCAGAGCTTTGAGCACGAAACTGGATGGGCCTGAGGTGTGTGTGCATGTGAGCGAGAGTGCCTTACATTTATAGCTTTTCTGCCACAGCTGTTGGAAACAAACATCCTTCTGTGCACCAGCTGCCATGATTTTACAACTGCTTATTAGTGCTTTTGGTTCTTGCTGGGGCCCTGGTCAAGCCACTGAGGGTCTCTTGCCTGTGCATTACTCTCTTTTCTTATTTCAGGTGGGATTTCATTACTCTCTTCTTCCCCTAGAAGAAGAAAGAGAGCAGAACAGATAAACTATCATGTCTCAAAAGAGCACAGACTAGGCTCACATATCTACCTCTGAGCAGATTAGTCATCTAAAAATACTGCATTTTAGATGACTGAGTGGGATCTAAGTGTTGCTAACCTAGAAAAATCAGGCCTCACGTTTCCTGGGTTCTGCAGCGCCACGTGAATATACCACGTGGGTGGCAAAGGGGTGGCAGAGGCAGGTTTGTGCTTACTGTTTATGCTGCTTCTCTCTGCTGCAGTTTCTCGAGATGATGTGGAGGGGCTTCTGCTGATGGAAGAGGAAGGGCACTCAGATCTCATCAGCTTTCAGCCAACAGACAGCGATATCCCCAGCTTCCTGGAGGACTGTAAC